TATTGATTAAGTTATTACATATGTGTCCTTATCCCCACATTACCCCCTATCCCCCCCACTCATGCCCTCACCCCCCATTTGTCTGTGAGTCAAAGCTTATTTTAAGAAAGCATCAATAGAGATTTTTAAATTTCTGATGTAACTAATATTATATTATCTATTTACATTCTAAAAATACTAAACTCTTTCAGCTGATAACATATGTATATTTTTTTGCAAGACACGCCTCTGCAAATTTTCACATGCTACACAATGACTATTCTCATTTGCTGGGCTATTAGCCTGGCCACTTTTTGAGCACACCATTTCTATATACCGCATTACTACATCATATATACTTACAACTCAGCCTTTCAGAAATCTGAATTATAAGTTTCAAGAAAGATATTCTGAGAAGGAAAAATGCTTTCTCCTTAAAAAACAAACAAACAAAACTACCTATTTAGTGTTTTCTCACAATCCATACGATCACTTTAAATAGAATTACTACTAAAATTCAAAGTTAAAAAAAAATTCCAATAGAATTGTTGAGTACAATACAATAATATATGAATAAAATTTCAAGACCCCAAAACAAACCTAGTCTATATCTTTTATATTCTCACTAGAGGCCTGCGAGGATCAGACCAAAACCGGCTCTCTGACATCTGCCAAGTGGTCCCGGATTGTGAGAGGGTGCAGGCCAGACTGAGGGACCCTACTGGTGCAAGATCAGGGCTGGGGAGGGGCTGCGGGAGGGCTCCAGGGTGTGTCTGACCCATCTCGCCCAGTCCCCATAAGCTGGACCCCAGCAGCAAGCTAATCTACCACTCAGAGTGTCTTCCCCCTGGTGGTCAGTGTGCGTCATAGCGACTGGTTGAATGGTCAGACACTTAGCATATTAGGCTTTTATATATATATAGATCAAGGAAACACATCACTATTTTTAAAAATTCCAAACAAGTCCTGGCTGGTTTGGCTCAGTGGATAGAGTGTCAGCTTGTGGACTGAAGGATCCCAGGTTTAATTCCAGTCAAGGGCACATGCCCGGGCTGCGGTTTGATCCCCAGTAGGAGGCATGCAGGAGGCAGCTGATCAATGGTTCTCTCTCATCATTGATGTTTCTATCTCTCTCTCTCTCCCTTTCTCTCTGAATTCAATAAAAATACATTAAAAATTTTTTTTCAAAACAAAATTTAAAACAATCCATAAATAATCTTAAATATGAATGGCTAGAATAATGTAAATGTCTAAATTCTACATTTTTTAGAAGCTTCCTCTTAAAAAATTCAATTTTTGGTGAATTAAGAAGGGAAACAATATACTGAAGTTTGAGGGGGAAAATGAACACAACCAACTTGTTAAAGACAGTTTATTATTATCTCTAAATTCCCCACTATGGTAAAGGAACAGTGATCATTCCTTACGCAAAACGTCTCTGATGAGTCAGAACAAATAAAAAAGAAAAACTAGAACATGAAGTTGGGTAGTTAAAAAAAATTACAGTGATGAGTATAAACCAAAACTCTCATTGGTAATATCAATTTTCTAGTGGAATTAAATCCTGGGTCTGGCTTTACAATTCTAGAGATTATCAAATAACAACAGTTCTACTTACTGGATGGCTGAAGTCTCACTGATTTCTTCTATTTTCAATACTTTTGCTTTTGGAATATCACTCGTGGGCAAAAGGTCATCTTGGCTTGAATTCTTCTTACTTGCAGTGCCTGTGTTGCTGTTACATCTGCTACATTAATAGGATTACTTTCTGGAGCAGCAGCAGTAGTGCTCTCTGGCATGTCAATAGTCTGTATCAAATTACCAGTTTCTTCAATAATCACCTTCTTGAGGGGTTTCTAAAACAATTAAAATCAATTCCTTAAATCAACACATAAAGTTTTTCTATTTTAGAATTACAAATTAAAAGGTTGCTGTGTTCTTACAGCCAATATCCCAATTTGTTTTATAAAAAAAAATTCAATTTGATGGCTAGACAGACTTAGGAGTCACACTCTGAGAACACAAATAAAAAGATGCATAGCACCTACCAAATGTAGGTCTAAATGGAGGAAAGAAGATGTATATATAAATAATTACAAGCAATAGGATACAAACCTATAAGAGAACACAGAGGAAGGTAGAAAAACATTGGCATTAGCAGAGAATTCTTAGAAAAAGTACACAAAAATGGCAATGTGGAAGATTAACCATGGTACGTATGGTCAGTGAAAAGTTGATAAGTCCAATGGCACTGGTGCAAGGGGATAAGTGATGGGAGACAAAGCTTGAAAGGCTCATTAAAAATTGCTTATAAAGAGACTTATGTGCCATGTCAAGGAGTTTGGACTTTATTTTAGAGGCAAGAAAGCCAAGAAAAAATATTACCAAACTGACAACAGTATTGTGGGCTAACTGAAAGCAAGAAAAACAAGGCTAGGCAATAACCAGCATTCTGTATGAAACAGACCAACATTAAAACCTGAATACACCTGGTTGGTGTAGCTCAGTGGTTGACCATCAACCACTATAGAAAGATTTATGAACCAGGAGGTCACAGTTCGATTCTGGGTTAGGGCACATGCCCGGGTTGTAGGCTCAATTCCCAGAAACGGGCATGCAAGAGGCAGCCAATCAATGATTATCTCTTGTCATTGATGTTTCTATCTTCTCTCCCTCTCCTTTCCTCTCTGAAATCAATAAAAATACATTTTAATAATAATCCTATATAATAAAAGGCTAGTATGCAAATCGACTGAACAGCGGAACAGCAGAACAACCGGTTGCTATAACACACACTGACCACCAGGAGGCAGACGCTCAATGCAGGAGCTGCTCCCTGGTGGTCAGTGTGCTCCCACAGAGGGAGCGCCGCTCAGCCAGAAGCCCTGAGCCAGGCTCACGGTTGGCAAGCACAGCGGCAGTGGCAGGAGCCTCTCCCACCTCTGCAGCAGCCTAAGGATGTCCGGGAGCGGGCCTAAGCTGTCAGTCGGACATTCCCCCAAGGCTCCCAGACTGCGAGAGGGTGCAGGCCGGGCTAAGGGACCCCCCCCGCCAAGTGCACAAATTTTGTGCACCGGGCCTCTAGTAATAAATAAAACCTGAATACATTTTCTATATGAGAAGCTGGATAAAGCCAGCTCAGGATTAAAAGTTTGCTAAATAATAATCACAAACTTGGTAAGTACTTGACCAATAATGGTTTTTAATAAAATAAGTTGCATTCACTATTTCAATCATTACAAGTATCAAACATTTTCAACTTCTTCTAAAGTTTACATATTGTACTCTTATTTTTAACAAAAAAACTTTCAGTATAATGTAAGTGTTCAATTCAATTGTATAGTTAAATTTTAAATAAAAAAGTTATAAATATAAACACTTTTGACATATATACTAAATTCAACCTTAAAACCAGACATTCTATTAACATTGCTAAGCTAAGACCTAATGGGAAAAATTGTTACTGGATAAATGCACATAAATAAAAAAGCTGTTAGCAAATTTGTTAAAAGAATCCTGTTAGCAGTTCTATTTTAAAAGATAATCACGTGCCGAACCGGTTTGGCTCAGTGGATAGAGCGTCGGCCTGCGGACTCAAGGGTCCCAGGTTCGATTCCGGTCAAGGGCATGTACCTTGGTTGCAGGCACATCCCCACTGGGGGGCGTGCAGGAGGCAGCTGATCGATGTTTCTCTCTCATCGATGTTTCTAACTCTCTATCCCTCTCCCTTCTTCTCTGTGAAAAATCAATAAAATATTTAAAAAAAAAAAAAAAAGATAATCACGTTAAGCTAAGGCCTTTGCTGAGAACTATCATCAGCAATAGATAACGATCAAGATATTAATCAAGAATGGACATGTATTAGTGTTTAAAAAATAGACTATAATTTGACAGGCAATAATTATTGAATTATATCAATACACTATCATTTAAAAACAAATACTTTCATTGACATTAGATGTGTAAGCATTGATTCTAATTAACAAATTTCCAAATAGATAGTCTCTATTAACAGTAGACCAGGGATGGGGGAATGACAGTATGAACAGAAGTAAAACTCAAAAGATACCACTACAGAAAGATTTATGAAAAGATATGAAAGGTTCAATTCATCACTTTTTTAAAATTACAAGTTAGAAACATAACATTTTATTTAGCTCTGTATAATGGCTATTTCAAAAAAAAAAAAGAGAGAGAGAGAGAGAAGAATAAACAGAAAGGGAGAAAGAAAAGGCTAAGGACCAAAAAGAAAGGTGAAGTTTTGATGTGGGAAAACAGAAAAACGAAAATAAATATTTTAGCAGAGACTAAGAGATCAGGAAAAACTTTCATTTACTACCAATCAGGGAACCCCCAGGCCCTTGCTAAGCTGATCTACATCACTGGTCTTTAAAGAGATTTTAATTCAACAGTTTGTTTCCGACTCTTATTCATACCACACAGATATTTACATACCAAGAAAGAAAAAGACAAGTGTTCACTTACAGCTGGTCCAGGATGAGGGGGATTACCAGTGGGTTTTATCACGTTGTGCCTTTGAGTAGAATCGAGAAAGACATCATCCCAGTGTCCTTTCTCAATTAATTCCTTAAAAATAGATTTGTGATCATGACTATAAAAATACTCTCAAGTTAATTATGCAACAAATAAATGTGTTTAAGTTGCAGAAAATAAAAGTATATATTGGTGGAAATAATATATTACCTTTTTAATTTTGGAAAGTTCAGTTATTGCTTGCTTATTTCCAGGTTCCAGAAGCAAAACAGTTTCAAAATCTAAAGTGAATTTTTAAGAAATATAATAAATTAGTGGAAATACTTTATAAAGTTCAAGACATGATATGTTTAGTTAGCTTAGTAACCCCATGTTTATCTCAGGAAGTTTTACTCAGGATGCTAGGAAACACGTGAGCAACAACAAGGACTAACATTTACTGAGTGCTATTCTTTATATGAATTCTGATGTATTCCTCACTATAACCCCACTTTACAGATGATACGATTGAGGCCTACAGGTCACCTAACTTACCAAAGCCCACACTACTAACAAATGAAAAGGTAACTCACTAAATATAAGATAGAATCTAATATTATCCAGCCTTAAAAAGGAGTTGTGATACATGCTACGACATAGATGAACCTTGAAGACATTATACTAACAGAAATAAGCCAGACACAAAAGGACAAAGTACTGTATAATTCTTATATAAAACACCTAGAAAAGTCATATTCAGGGATAGAAAGTAGAATGGTGGTTCTGAGGAGCTGGAAAAAAAGGGGAATGGAGAGTTACTGTTTAATGCGTAGAGTTTTCAGAATGAAATGATGAAAAAGTTCTGGAGATGAATAATGGTGATGGTTACACAATGTAAATGGACTCAATGCCAATGGACTTAAAAATGGTTAGAACAGTAAGTTTTATGTTATGTGTATTTTACCATAACAAAAAAAATGCATGGGTTACAGCTGAAGCCAGGTTTAGAGAAAAACTGAGAGAATTAAATGCATAGATCGGGAAAAAAGACTGAAATCAATTATCTAGGTATTGATGTTAAAAAATTAGAAAAACAGCAAATTAAATCAAGACAGTTGTAGGAAGGAAATAAAGAGTAGAAATAAATAAAATTGAAAACATACACAAAAGAAACAAGTTGGTTCTTCAAAAAGACTAATAAATACTTAAAAGACAGATCAAGGAAAAATAAAAGAATAACAAGTATAAAAAAATAAGAGGGGGTGGGGCATCACTACAGACTACAGTATCCTCTACCTCCAGCTGCTGATTCCCTTCCTTTTCATTTTTGCCTTTGTCTTGCTTTTTTCCTTCTCACCTATAATTCAAATCTTTTTTTAAAATATATTTTATTGATTTTTTACAGAGAGGAAGGAAGAGGGATAGAGAGTTAGAAACATCAATGAGAGAGAAACATCAATCAGCTGCCTCCTGCACACTCCCTACTGGGGATGTGCCTGCAATCAAGGTACATGCCCTTGACCTGAATCGAACCTGGGACTCTTCATCCGCAGGCCGACGCTCTATCCACTGAGCCAAACCGGTTACGGCTATAATTCAAATCTTTACTAATTTTGATTGGCAACTAGCCAGATTGTACTGTATGCTCTCAAAAGATAATCAGGTCTACTATTAAAGCTGCATTCCTTCAAATCTGCATACACATTCATGATTTAAACTGAGAAAGAAAATAAGTATATCTTTCTCTAAATTCTGTATCCTTGAACCATGGGAAGACTACGCAAATCTCTGCTTCTATAACTTGGGAGTCTCGTCAGAATGAGTGAGTGGCAGTTGTTATAAAAATAGTCATACCTTGTTTGGCCTCATTTAACTTTCCCAAAAACGTTCTTGCAGTTCCTCTTCTGGCATAAGCTTTAGAATACGAGCCATCTAATAAAACAGCTCGTGTGCAGTCCTTTTCAGCCTCTTCATATCTATTAAACATAATACAATTACCAACTGGAAAAATGCAGCCTATAGAAAAACTTCATATAAGCTGAGTTTCTAATATAAAAAAGCATGCATATAATTTCAAATATCAACCCCATATCTGTGTTTGAGGGAAAAGACAATTATAAAATTTTATATTCTCACCAAATCTTGGAATCATCTGCTAAGGAGGGAGAAGGTACCAGATTAAAGAAAAGTCAGAAAAGGATGGAATTAGGATGGCAAAAATACGAGTAGAGCAGACAAAAGAATAGTACTGCTGGAAGTCTGCCCCCTGTCCACCTTCAATAAGCACACACTGCATTAACAATTGGCATTAATTTTCTTTTTTTTTTTTTTTAATATATTTTATTGATTTTTTACAGAAAGGAAGGGAGAGGGATAGAGAGTTAGAAACATCAATGAGAGAGAAACATTGATCAGCTGCCTCCTGCACACTCCCCACTGGGGTCGTGCCTGCAACCAAGGTACATGCCCTTGACTGGAATCGAACCTGGGACCTTTCAGTCTGCAGGCCAACGCTCTATCCACTGAGCCAAACCAGTCAGGCAACAATTGGCATTAATTTTCTAATAAAACTAGAGGCTCGTTGCATGAATTCGTGCACCAGTGGGGTCCCTTGGCCTGGCCTGCGGGATCAGGCCGAAACCGGCTCTCCAACATCCGAGGGGTCCTGGATTGCGAGAGGGCGCAGGCCAGGCCGAGGGACCCCACCAGTGCACAATTGGGGCGGTGGAGGGACGCAGGAGGTTGGCCAGACAGGGAGGGGTTGTGGGAGGGCTCCAGGGCATGTCCAGCCTGTCTCGCTCCAGTCCTGACGGGTGGGACCCCAGCAGCAAGCTAACCTACCGATTGGAACATCTGCCCCCTGGTGGTCAGTGCACATCATAGTGACTGGACAACCGGTCGACTGTCTGCCCCTTGATGGTCAGTGCACATCATAGCGAGCGGCTGAGTAGCCTTAGCATATCATCAGCATATTATTTAAGCTTTGATTGGTTGAACAGCTGACCGAACAACTGTACACTTAGCATATTAGGCTTTTATTATATAGGATTCCATCTTTACCTATAGTACACACCGCCCAAGGAAAAACCCACAAAACATTATATATTTGTAAGTATATCATCGACACTTCATTAATCCTAATCAGCCATGCAACCAACAATCAATTCAGTCTGACTGGGTACTGCTCTATGATAACAAGGCACTAAGAGCTAAAACACAACAACTTGAGACCCTATATATTAACACATTGCAGACAGATCTTGAGAATTCTCGTGTTTTCTGTTCTAAGGCTTGTGGCTAATCACAAGAATTCTTTAAAAAGATATTAGCTTGTCAGAACACGTAATAAATAACTTCAAAATGCAATGGGTATTTAATTTTAAAGTGTGTCTTTAACATTTATGTAAAATGTTTTTTGTACTCGTTCAATAGAATCTTATCTGGCCACTGGGTAGAGCTAGCAATAAAACTATTGGTCCACAAAATGTTAAAATAACATTAATAAATCATTTTTAATTTATATGGCATGATAACGGTATTGTGGTTACACCTGAAGCATCCTTTAGGGATAAAATGTCATAATGTCTGCAACTATTTACAATTCAGGAGAAAAAAAAAACCTGAGACAAATATGATAAAAATAAGCTATGGCTTTTTGAAACTAGATGATTTAATACATGGAGCTTTTTATACCAATTTCATCAAAGTTTGAAAAGTTTCATAATAAAAATACTTTTTAAAAAGAATCCCCTGTGATTACATTCTCCCCAAGGCCTAAGTGAATATCATTATACCCTCAAAACAAGACCTGCTCTGAACAAAATCAGATTTTCTAATGAACTTAAAAATTTCTGAATTCTTGAATTTGTTTTTCAACAAAAGAGAAAGAATATCTTTCTATGTGTGTGTGTGTGTGTGTGTGCGTCTATTCCCTTACCGATATGTTTTCTACCTGACTGATTATATCATTCTCCCAACCATGATACTTGCATAGCCCCCACACTATTCAAGATAAAGTCAAGCTCCTGTGCAGAACACAAAGCCAGGGGCCTGCCTGACTTTCCAGCCTTATCCTTGCATTATCCCCAGCATAACAGCAATAATATGGACCCCTTGCCCTTTCCAGAAATTACCATGAAATTTCCCACTCCTGAGCCTGTGAACTCCACTGGGACACCTGTTTTTTTCACCTCCCTAACTCAAACTAACCCTTTACATCTCAGTTCAGCTCAAATTCCTGTTTGGAAAGTTGTCCCTCTTATATTCCTCATCTAGTCTGTAATGTCTAACAACAGTCACCATGTGGTGGAGAAAACTTCTGTATTAAGTGTGCATCTAAAAGATACACTAGAAAAAAAATACAAATAAGAGTCATATTTAATTTAAAATATACCATTAACTTACTATAACATACTAATGTGATTATCAACTAAAACAATATAATAATACAATAAATTAGAGCGCTCATAAATGTAGATATAATTTGTCACCTATTAGAAGTTATTATTCTTGGCATTAGTCAAACCTAGGAATCCAGGTCTTACAATTTTTAAATCATACACAATTCTTGAATAGCAAAAAACAAAATTTTCATAAGCAAGCAAGACATGCAATGATCTTCACTCTGACTAATCAAAATAATATATCTCTAGTTATGTCTTTTAGATTCAATGAGGTTAAATATACAACCAAAATTTACTTCTATGATAGGGGTTCCTAACTTGAGGCCCTTTGAGAAATCTGAAAACTTAGATGGTAAAAACATATCCTTATTTTCACTAACTTTTAAATAAACTTTCACTTTTCTTTTTATTATTAACTATAGATAACAAAACACAGTAGTAAAAGCAGTACCTATGCCTTTGTCACCAATAAAAATTACAGATATTTTCATATCACATTTGTGACAGATATCTCACAAACTGTTTTGAGATATCACCATTGCAGAATTACAGTAGCAACTTAACCTGCTACTTGTCTGCATGTGATCATCCTATCCTATATCATAAAAGGCTAGTATGCAAATACACCAAACGGTGGGATAACCAAACAACTGAACAACCGGTTGCTATGACATGTGCTGACCACCAGGGGGCATGTGCGGAACATGGTGGGCATCGGCAGCAGGTGGCAGAGCGCGGAACATGGCGGGCTTTAGCCACAGTCGAATGGTGGAGCAGGTGAGCGAGGGCGCAAAACCAAGGCGGGGCACCGATCGCTGTCATCAGGGCAAGCCTCTGGTGGTTACTGAAAATTCTTTGCTCCCGCGTGCTGTGGTCCCGCCTGGTGCTTGCACCTGCTGCTGACGCCGACCCCGCTTGCACCAGCTGCCGGCACCGGAGCTGCCACTCGCACCTGCTGCCGGTGCCTGGCACTGGTCCCAATCGCTCAGTGCCGTCAGCAGGTGCGAGCAGCAGCAGCCAGCCCTGATTGCCTCTGAGGATTTCTCCACCTCCCCCTGCTCCTGAGGGGCGATCGGGGCAGCAGCTGCTGATCACACCCACTGCTGGCACTGGCCCCAATCTCTCCATGCTGTCAGCGGGTGCGAGTGGGGCAAGCGCTGTTAGCGCATGGAAGCGGCAGCGGCAGGAGCGGGGCTGCTGGCAGACAGGGGACCGGAGGCGTGGAGAATGGGCTGAGACCCACCCCAGTGCCCAGTGCAGCCTCGCGGCCCACAGTTCCTTTCAAGGTGCACGAATTCATGCACTGGGCCCCTAGTAGTATCCCTGTTTATAGATGCTCCTATGTCATAGCTAGCCAACAACCACACAATTCTATCCCTAGGAGTC